ACGCAGTGCATGGATGCAAAAAGCTATCTATGAATTCTACTTTTGAAGAATTACATATAAAGAACATTAAAAAAAAAAAAAAAAGTACTGATTACAATACCAGGCACTGGGAAAAGCCAGCCTCGCCATTTTAATAGCATAATGAAATTATTGTGCTTTTATTTTTCATTGGGATTTCATTTTTTCGGAAGGAAATTATGTAAAAATGCTTTACAATATCACTGGCAAAAACCCAGAACACCTGAAATGATATGTTAACGGCGTTAGATATTCCCTCTCCTAATACAACTGCTATTGTACATAGCAGAAGAATGGGTACAGGTTGAAAACTACGAAAACAGGAACTTTGTGATGTCCAGTTGCTACAACARCAACAACAAAAACACCAACAAGAAAAAAACCTGTTCATGATGTATAAACTTCATATTCCTAGTAGTTGGATCACTCTTAAATCACATCCCACTCTTACAGGATCAGCAATAGCAACACAGGCTGAAAGACCACAGCCACACAGAGTTGGTGTTATACCAAACTGAGTGAAAACCACTATCAAATGCAAAACATAATTAGCCAGAAAAGGCAGTCTGCTTTGTCAACGAGATTAATTTTACATTCAGCTATAGGTGTAAGTAAAAAATCCCAGGGTAATTTTATCTCATTCAAAATCTTCACTTTAACTAGGATATCACACGGACAAAATCATAAGAAAATCCTTCTGGGCAGACTAGCTGGTCCATCTAAGGTAGACTAAAAATAAATTGTAAACCTCATGTAACTGGTTCCATTGCAAGCTGATACCTGTGTGACCCAAGGCTGTGGTAAAGTTAGTGCCACAGTCACAAACAGTGAGAGATCTACAGTCTCTCAGATGAACAAACACCACAACACAGGTTAGAAATGGATAACTGAAAAAGAAAAGAACAGATGAGACATACTTTCAAAGTAGATTTTCCTGCAGTAGTTAAGCTGCACATAAGATAATTTGTTGAAAACAATGCTTATCTGACATGCCAGCGTGACTCTTTAGCAATAGGGACTTCTGATTCTTAAGCTATGAGTCTTCAGCCCCCAGCTATGAAAGCCAGGTCTATTGATGGTATTTACAGGACTCTTAACCATCCCTCTGTCCCTCCCCCTTTATAAACGGGAACAAATACAGTCCCTCTATAAGGGAAAGAAAATTCAGTATTCAAAAGCATCAAGAAATGCATCATTTTTATACTTCAAATGTGCTAACAGCCCAATAGGCTACACATAATAAAGCTCTAAATTGGGTGAAATCCAATCAACCMATGAAGTCCATCAAAACAAAGCAACAATTTAATACTTCAATGATTAGCTGGTGTGGCTATTTGGAGAAGCCAATTCTAAACACTCAGTTTTTCCAGCAATTAACATTCAGAAGCTCCAAAATAAAGGGTTCCCTTCAAGTTTTTAACCTAGGAATAACTCTCRTACCATAAAGAACATGGTTTGCATTTTGAAAAATCTATCCAAAATAGATAAAGAAAGTAAAAAGAAGAAAAAACAGCACAGAAAAAATGCCAGATGAGAAGACTCAATCTACAGGGTGGTGAAAAGCGCTTGCAAGTGGTTTTGAGCTAGAAGGCTAGAGAGCTCGGCGGCTCACAATGCTGCACTTGGTGAGACTGAAGTACAGGCTCCATTTCTTGGTCTTCTGCTTTCATCCATTTGACTGAAAAGCATCAGCAGCCACCAAACAGTCGATTCTTTCTAACAATATCAATCTATTCTGCCCAAAATGTGGGGAYCACAGAAGAGTTGCTCTCCCAAGAGAACACCACAGTTTCATAGAAGAGATTAGGAAAACCCATATAMAACGATCCCTCATTAAGTAGATCACTTCTGCATAAACAGAAAAGAACAACTTGAGCATCAGGTTCTTCCTCTTCCAAGTGGATTGTGAAGTCCTCCTAGGGAGAGCATCACAGCGAGACTGAGGCTGCTTCTGATCTCCGAGTGAGGCTCCTGGAGAGCTGTGGCCCAAAGACCCTGCACGTGTTGCTGTTGGGAAGCACGGGGCATAACCCGCCATGCTCGGCAGGCCCTGCGGATCAAGGGCAAACTCTCGAACCAGCAGGTTGCCCAGGGCTGCATTCCTGCAGCAACTGGGCAAGGAAACCTTCCAGCATGAAAATGCCTGTCTGCTAATACTGGTTTCCCTATGCTGATCACCAGAAAATACAGCTAAATTTATTCTGGTACAAGTTGTTTGTAGCTATTCTAGCAGACTATAAAAAGACAATGGGAGAGAGTGTTGCTAACGATACTGTGTTTATTTATTTTCAATTAAATAATGTATTTTCCCATTAAAATATAAACTCATTAGCAGAAAAAAGCACAGTTATATGAAAAAAAGTAGTAATAAAGCAACTGCTTTAAAGAAAGATAGCGAAAAATCCAGTAGGTTATGATTGTGGTTAAGGACACTGCTAAATACTGCTTAAGTGAATATAATAAACCAAAAGAATATAGAAAATATAGRTTTTTAATGAAAACCAAAGAACTAATTTCACACTAACAGAAGGTTATCACCGGTTAATCACCGAAGGTTTAGCTTGTTCTCCGGAAGCACAAAGTAAATGCATAAAAAGTGAGGCAATTAGAAAGTTTTGAGGGTTTTTTCTTTCTTTTTGTGGGGAGACAGGATACAGAAGGACCGGGAAGGGATAAAGTGATGGCAAAGGGCTAAAACAAATTTCATATATTTGGAGACCATCTAGCAAAACACAAACAAAGCAAAACGCTCAGCCCTCAGAGGAGTAAGAACGACAACTGCCCACTCCCTTCCTTGACTCCAAACCTTCTTCGTGTTTCAAGTTACTCTTATCTGAAACATGAAAAAAGACACCACTTCCAGAACTAAAATTTAACTTATGAAGGGTGTCCAGACATGGCATCTCAAAACACTTCTGTCTAAAAGGAGTGATGACCCCACTGCCCTTTTCAGGCATTCATCCATGTACTTTGCTGTGAAGGAAAAGAGCCTCTACACGGGCGTGCTCCATTAAGGGGCTCGTGCCTGTGAGCATCAGCATGGGCAGCCCAGGCCTTGGCATGTTTTTGTTGCTGGCTTCCTCTGGCAGAAACTGCAAGTAACTAATGGAAACCCAAAAGACCAGACAAGCTCTGCAGATGCAGCTGCCCCAAATGCCAGCAGACCTGTGCTTGCTCCCACATACAGTGCCACACTGTTGTTGCTTCCCTGATACCGCTCTCCTTAGGAAATACCTGTCTGCTACTCAGATACGGTGGATCTGGTCCATGTTGGAGCACTCAAATCTAAGCTGCAGGTCATGCCCAAATCAGGGATTCTAGTTAAATGGAAAAGTATCCTATTGACAACGTCATATGTCACTTTTGTAGACAAAAATATAAAGCGAAAGAGAAAAATCCTGACTTTTCCCCTCTTCTTACCCGAAAGATACTCCCAAAAAAGCACATAATGCAGAGACAGAAAACAAGGTCTACAGTTACTACAGAAGATGAAATATAAAAAGTCAAGAATAAAATTTAAAAGCTAGTTTACATTTCAGTATTAAAATTCTCTTGCCTGCATTAAACACTTATTTTGGGCCTGCTACATATACTCTGACACTCTTACTTTATGGAGCTGCCCTACAAAGCAGCTTGAACGCTCCAGGAACTTGATGGTTAACGATGCCTCCCCTGCACACAGAAGACCTCAGTTCAAGTTATCGTCCCAAATATATCGAAAGAAGAATGTGATCCTGTATCTGCCATGGTCCAGTGATTAATTTTAGTCTCTAAATTTGTCTTTGTCTCTCTACAGTTTCAATAAAAAGTGTTTGAGAAAAAATTACAAACCACAGGAGCTCTGCTCCTTCCTCAGACTGATTTTCTGCATGGTCTGACTAAAAAGCCCTTTACCCCTGTATCTGAGTTTCCAGAACTATAAAACTGCTTTAAGCAGGAGGCTGGACTAGATGATTTCCTCAGGTCCCTTCCAACAGGAATTTTCTGATAATCACATGTGTTTTGAGATATACAAGCGTGAATTTTCATACTCAAGCATTATAGATTTAATCACCATTGGAAATACCAAATAAGTACCCCAAGATTTTTCAAGTCTTAAACGCTTAGCTTTTTATCAGAGATAGACCTGGAACAAATGTCTAAAAGCTCATGGGTTTTGTCTCTTTTGCAACTATCATCTGTAAGATCCAGAGCAAAATCAGCAAAACCTTCACCTTCAGACTTTAGGAAAACAACGATCCAGTTCTGGAGGGCAGTGCAAAATTTGCTGGTTTCTGCTGTCTTTTTTTCTTTTTTTAAGAAAGAAAGAAATCCAAAACAACAAATATCCAGTTTGACTATATATTTTTAAAGAGGCACCATAAAAAAAATAAACTTGAAAGGCATTTCTCTGAAAAGTAAGAACAAGCAAATTTCCCAGGTAGGCTAAGATCATCTTTGCAGGCAGACTGATGCCAACACGAACAACAAACAACAAACAACCAAAATAACCTCCCATCAACTTCTTGTCTTGCAACATAAAGTGCACAYTTCATTGTCAGTATTTCATCAAAGACAGTAGTTGCTCTTCTTAGTATTCCTGAATACGTTTAGTTTCTACTGATTTTTGGCATTTTCTAGGKTATTTATTCTTTCCCTAACTGTCAAAGCAAATCAGTCCTTCCCYAGAGTTCAGAATATTTTAGATTACTTATTTTCTAGCTCCTTTTCMTTTTAGTCAGTGGACTAAAGCACAGCAGGCTCTGCACAGCTCCCACATCACAGAGGGCAAAGACAACACAAAAGTCCTGCATTTCAGACCATTTCAGCTCCTGTTACTGGTTCTTGCAGTCTTCCAACAAGTTTCCTCCACGTAGCCAAGATTTCATTGACTTTGGACTACTTGGAAATGAATTAACAGTCTTACCAGTCATCAAACTTGCGTCTAACACTGCATGAAAAAAATAATAAAAGCAGAATAAAGCAAAAAAGTCTCCCCTTACCTTGCTGGAGGCACATCAATATTTGAAGAAACCACCTTACGCTTCTGTTCAAGAAGACAAATAGAGCGAGTGTTTTCCTTTTCATACTCATGAACTCTGCTTGTTTTTTTGGTCTCTGCTGTTTTTAAATCTCCCTCCTTTGTGGCAAACAGGAGAAACTGTGGGTCTGGCAGTTTTTGACTGATATCAGTTTTTACGTCCTCCTGTTGATATGCAGGGAAGGTCATTTCACGTCTGATGCTGGCTGCCTGCAAAATTAAAAGCAATTATTAAATTCTCCTTCCTATAATTCTACTAAAAAGTAGGAGAGAAGGGGAAAAACTTCCTCTAATTATCTCTTTGAATCAAAGAACACCTTTCTTTTGCCCTTCATAAATCCTGAAACTGGCATTAATTTCTCCCCAGTGCTGGGGACAATCTAGGAAAAGTAGCAGCTCTTGGCTGCTTGATAAAATAATTAGCTTTGTCTTAACACTAATCCAAAAAGGTACATGAATTGGGATGCTTTAAGCCACAGTGTATAGATAACTTCATGCACAYGCATCTGTATTGAGTAACTTCATACAAAAGAAACCCCAGCTGCCCTTGTCCCAGAGGAGCTAGCTCAGCTCCCGAGTCTACCCGGGGCRGCAGCAGCCTCCTCCTGCACCAAGCAGAACTCTGCCAAGCGAGATTAAACACAAACCCTTTCCTATGTAAGCCACAGTACTTTAATACCTCCTTTTATCATCCAAAAAATGATTATATGTATATATGCATGTAAATACAGATATAAATTTAAAAAGAAATATGTAAAGTTCTTCTCCCCACAACTCTACTTCCAAGCCTTTGCAGGTTTAAAAATGGTGCAAGTTATTTTAAGTTCACAGCAATGCAGTCTTGCCAAGTACCTTTGTTTAGCTCTGAGAGCTAAACACGTCATCACTAACACGTAAACACTCAGGACAGATTACTTCATATGTCCTATTGCAGYGTTAGCACAGAAGAACTTCTGGCAGTTGTTTCAAGAACAAAAATSGATCAGTCCCTTTATGAATGTAAATAGCTGAGAAAGGTACTGCTCACACCAAAGGAAGCTGCCTATGCAGGTTGAATTCTTACACACACACAGATACACACACACACACACACACCCCATTACAGCATCATCTCCCACTGCACCATCACACACTCCCTCTGCTCCAGCTTTTCTATATGCCACTTGTATATATCCAAATGATGGTTTGGTCTTCCTAGTTCAGTACAATATAATAAACAGTCAGACCCATACAAGTGTATAAAAGTCGAGGTGAAAAAATGCCCATCYCACACAAATGGAGGTGTTCCAAGAGCTGCAGAGCTGCGCCCAAGCAGTTCAGGTCCATCGGTTAGAAGGCTAAAAATGAAGACCAGGTCTGCACAGTGCCTGTATCAACCTTCTTCCTCAGTGCAATGCATGTTTGAAAGTATTTATCACCATCTTGCTAAACCTTCCCTTAATAGAATAAAGAAAAATATTCAAATAAAAGGCCTTTTGTACTTTAGAAGCAGGTGGTCACAACAGAAGTCAAGAATGTCACTCACTGGTCAGTGCCTTGCAAATGTCCCCTGTCCAGCAGGTTTCAGTTTGTCAGCAAACACAAATAATTTCCTCTTGGTGCATCTGCCATATCTGAAAGGGTACGAACTGCTCCTCAGGAAACCCAGCCACATGCGCAGCCAGCTGGGGATGCTGTTCCTTTCAGAAAGCATCCAGTGCCAGTGGACCTCGAGTGAGCGAGTTTTGGTAAATGCCTTGATACTGAACCACGACAACAGACTAGTCCTTAAACTCCACACCACAATTACTCATAGCACAGAGACAACGTAGCCAATTTTTAATATATTCTTCCAGCTAAGCTTTTTAACTSTTCTTATCAGGAACTTTGTTCATGTCTGCCTTTTGGTAGTGCTATTAATCTAGAWCAAATTTCATCAAAATTGTAGCATTAGGTCTAGTCCACGCAAAATCAACCTGTCTCTGGGAGCAGTTAACATAATAAGATCAATTGATTTTAACTTACTTCTGGCACTTTGCATTTCTCTCATTTGTTGAGCAGCTATTGTTAAATACAGGATTACCTTGTTTGACGATGGGGTGGCTATTCCTCTCATCATACCACAGCATTTGCTACGTTATTGCCTCTAGTATCTACTGCTGATAAAATCTTCCATTTTTTTCCATATCCACATGGTGACTTATAAAAATAGGCATGCTTGAATGATATCAAGGTAACTGCTTTTCTATGTAGTTCACTGCATAATTCCACCCTCAAGCTAYATGTAATTTTCAACTTGCTTCCAACCAAATACTTTGTAAACTGGCCTCAGGCACCTGACATTGCTTGAAAATTCACATTCTGGCTAGAGAAATGTAACAGTTATAAATGCTCTGCCCTTTTCAACTCTAATTTTTAGTTTCCATCTGCAACTGGTGTTGTTACTCCCCATCTCTTTGCTAACTCTCCTCCTCTGTCATCGGATAAGTGAAACTTTTGACCTGCCACCGCTTCGGAAGGACAGTTCATTGGTCTCCCTGCCTTCCCCTAGAGTTCAGTTCCCACATGCGGATATTACTTAGGTTCTGCTCTCTTTAACCTTTCTWTTKYTTTTTTTTTTTTTTTTAAAAAAAAAAAAGCTTCTTTAGGTGGCCTTCCCATCCAGCCCAAGTTTTCAGCATTAACAGCCAGACCATTTTCAGGAACCGCTTCAAAGACCTGAACTTTCAGGGTCACGGAGTCATCTCTCCCTCTTCCCTAGGAAACAGTTGTGCTCTGCGCTCCGTGGTTTGGTGCTGGAGCAGCTCCACCCCAACACACCTGGCGCCTGGGGAGTCTGGTAACCTGTGCCCGCAAAACCTGAAGGCAACTGCTTGCTTTGGTTTCTAGGCAGGAATTTTACTGAAAAGGAGAAACAATTTTAACTTCTGTTTTGAGGTTGCCAAGACAATAGCATATATTTAGGTTGGGGTTATATATTTAGGATTTTTTTCTTTGTTTCATTAGATTTTTAATTCAAAAAGTTTAATATTCTGCATTAAGACTAAATGATTACCACACTTTTCTTTATAATTCTCATGACATTTGCCATTTTAACCYGCCTCTAAAAATTTACATTTGGTAAAGCCATAACCTCTTATGGTAACCTAGGTACCCTAAGTAACCTAGTTGTCAGTCTTGAAACTCACACACTCCAACAGGACCACGGGCTGCAATCAAAGTCCTGCCCAAATTAAGGCAGGCTCAACATCAACAGATTGGGCACGCTCAACATCAACAGAAGTTTCGGGGAATTTAAAGTRCTTTTTCTTCAGACTTTTCAAATATTTCAAATACTTTCAAATAACTCACTGTCCTTTACCAGACRCCCTATACTATACAAAGTATTAATCTCCACAGAACATTAGCTGCACTTATGTATATGTGACCCACATATATAGAAACACACCTTCCAATGTAAGAACTGACCGAGTCCCATTTAAGCTCTTTCAAAGTTCTCTTTTTCTCTTGCAGTACCTGCTGACACAGATGGGAATATTGGTAGCCCTCACCTTATTTTTAACACAGACTGCGATGGCCTACACAGATCAATGCTAACAGCAACGCACGCAGAAGAACTGCTCTGTCACATGCTGCACATACTTGCTGTCCATCTTACAAACAACTCCCAGGCTAATTTGCCAACAAGACACTGGGCTGTGGGCAGTGTCAAGATGGAACTGCACAAACGGAAAGCAGCTGGACGGCCCGGAGCAGCACGTGAGTGAGARCAGCCACGTGCTCCCACGCAGCTCCCTCAGGGAAGCTACGGGATCCCAGGCCAGGCTAACACCTGGCGCACGGCGATAGCGCCTGCGTGCCACGACAGCACCCCGCGGGCGGCAGCTCCGCAGGGCACAGCTCGTGTCCCGCTGCCGGGCGGTGGGGCGGGAGCAGCAGCGCWGCCGGCCGCTCCGGCCTCCAGGTACGCTCGCTGACTCGGGCCTTTCCTCCCAGCTCTGCTGAGAATCCCGGGATTCTGATGGGTAAATTAAGTCATCTCAAGGCTGCGACCTCTTTATGCCATTATGTTTATTTCATATAGGCGAAAGGGCTCGTTTTACAAAAGAAAGAGCACTTCTAAAACATATAAAAAATATTGCATGGGGAGACAGAAGCATCTGTATGAAACTTAACTGCATCCAAAATTCATAATAAAATCCTACTAGGAATACGTTTTGGGAAACTAGCTGCTAAAAGAAAACACCTTCATCCTAACATTCCTGATGCCACTGCCATATTCACACATGGTTCCCCTCCCCAAACTTCCTTTCCTCTCTCCACCCTAATATTTCAACTGCACCCAAAGGAGCCACAAGCGGATTCAGCGCCCGCGTCGCTCCCAGAACCCCCACTCTCTCTCAGAAGCCGCACTAGTTGGTTTCCAGTCTCGGACATGTGTTTCTTTTCTAAAAGGAAAATCACTCTACACACTGTACCTATTTTGGATAAATCTACACTGTTCATATTAAAACATTTCAACTAGATGTACTTGCAACATTRAAACCATATAGCTAAAGACAGGAATTAAAGACGAGGATTCCTATTTTCTATTCGAGTCACTACATAATCAGTAGGTCTAATTCCATTTAAGAGTAAAGAAACCAATAGCGMTAAGTCAGCTCAGCACTGGCCAACCCACAATATGTCTCTTATTTTATAGGCAATTCTTCCACCCCAGCTTTATGACCATCTCTTTTCATTTTCTAAAATGGGTGTAAGCATGCTGTGTGGAATGGACCACTCATAAAAATTCAGCCTGGAAAGACAACACAAGTCATGAGMTTCTTTTGATATGAGGCTTTAACACCATTTTTGATCTGCTGCAGAATAAAAATGTAGCTTGATGAGGGAGAGGAAATAGGAATCAATATATTTCAGTCTAGCAGCATTAATGGGGGGCATTAATGCACACACACAAACAACAATTAAATGAATATTATTTGTCCAAAATGAGWGGTCAAAAGCTGTAAGCCTATTTTCAGGGTCAGTCCTATCTGCAACTGTGACAATTCTACCTATTTTTCTGGATGAGACAGAAATAATGAGTAAAGTTCACAGGCAAGGATAGCAAGCAGGAGTGAGAAACATCAAACTTACCGAGATAAGTGCACAAGTAAAAAATACATATATTTACAATAAACCCCTGAAAGATTAAAAGTTTTGATTTTGCAAGTTCAAGTTCTGCAAGT